CTGGACCGGAGGAAAACAAATCACCCTTTTCACATCCCGGCACAACGTTTTACCACTGAACCGCCGGTTCTTTTGCTTAAGGTCCCGGAAATTGTTCTGGACCGAAGGGAAACAATTCTTGCTTAAAATTTGCTGTATATTTGCCTTTCAAGGCAAGATACACCTTTTTCTCTTTTCCTTTGTGACGACTTCTTGGCCGGCTTTGCGGTTTTTCCGCGACAGTGCCCGCCGTTTTCCTCTTTTCTTTAGTAACGAATGGTTGGTACTTTCAGGTGTTATATTGCATTACGAAGATGTAACATTGCGGGAGTTGTATTTTCTCGATCCACAATGGCTGTGCGATATCCTGGCACATGTTATAACAATTCGCGAAATAAATCCCTTCGCACGAAATGGTCTTATGAAAATTGACGATCTTCAAATGCTGTTCAAGTCGTTAAAATTGGGCAGCTCGGCTATTAATTTGAGGTATTCGTTAGCTAGTTGAACTAGTTTAACGTATGTCAGCGATTCATTTGTATTGCAAGTGGCTTTAAGTTATCTCTATTTTTCATCAGATCACCTCTCGACCACTTATATACCGCTCTGCTGTATTTGCGATTACGTTGTAGTGCCACTGATTATGATTACCACTGACAATGGTTACTCTTTTCAAGGACCTGCTTTCCTTTGTTCGTTTGAGGAAGTCGCCTACATTTTTGCAGATCACACATAATATCGCTGTTACAAAAATTCGAAGTGGCGCTCACTTGGCAGTCACGTTCACTGCTTATCCCTTCGTTGTTGCCCGATGAATATCAGTTAAGGGGTGGATATCCAGGCTCGCGCGTAATGGTTCGTTTGTACTGTTTTATTTATGAATTTTAGGAAATACCCTTGGGTTTAAACTGCCGTAAAAGTATTTTATTCAAATAAATACAAGAAATTCAGCGAAGTTTCTTATTTATTATTTGGCTATTTTTCATCAGTTCATGAGTTTTAATTCCACCATTTGCACCGTTATTTATCGTATTTACTTTACTGGAATACACAAGAGTTATGTAAAAGAAATTTCTTGAAATTGAAAAAATAAGATGAAAAATGAAGTGTTTCAGGTACCAACGAGAGCAGCATCCTGGCAGCTGGAAATGATGGAACGCGACACCACGAACACTCCCAAGCAAACAAGAAAGAGGGCACCACATCTTCATCTGCAGTCTTTTTTCTGTCAACGTAGCTTAGGTGATTTACGACATCCAGCAACAATACCACAAATTGCCGGTACAAATATGCGCAAAAAGCCGTCGGCAGCAGTCTCAGTGGATCGTTCACGGCATGGCAATGATATGGGAATTCCAGAAGCAGTGGAACAAAAAATTACTGTTAATGTGCAGTTTGTGGAGCAGGTGAGCAGGCATTTTAATGTGCTTTTTACAGTGAGCTGAGGCAGAAGCTGAAACGTTGAATATTTAGCTTCAGTTTACTGTGTACATGAAACAAGAAAGTTTTTACACAAGCAGGCGAACATTGGGAAGTTCGCCAACTGATTACAAGAATCTGCTTGACTGCCCGTTTGGATTACACAGATATAACAACTTCAAAGTCGAGGAAAATGAAAGTTTCTAGTTGCTGGAAGAGACAAAAGTGCTGATGTGTTGAAGTACTAACACGATCATATTGGAAGGGCATATTTTTCTGGGATAAGGACAATTTTGCAGTTGCACTTCATTAGGTCTTTTATTGAACTGCTGATTTTTTTCCCAGGAATTTTCCTTTCTGTGCTAAAAAAAAGTAGAAAATTTGGATTCAAACCTTTTATAGGAACTGGTTCGTCGTGTTTACATGATGGCATATATACCATCCGGCTTTTGGTCGCGTCTAATGACACGTATGCTCGTTGACGATCATATAACCGCATGCGTGGAGCGTTTATTGCAAGTGGAACATCTTCCGGACGGTTGCACACTCGATATTCTCAAAGAACTATGCAACAAGCAGTTCCATCCTCAATGGCTGCTTTGGCAGACCGGTTTTGAGGTTCTGCATTCACGTTTACGGATCCTGTCTTATTTTACGAATTCATCCAGTGCTTCTGTTTTACTGTGAGCGGAGAGATTTTTACAATAACAG